TTTCCTGAAATGAGCCACTTTCCCCCAGTTATTTTGGTACAGTGTCTCTGTGTATTCCCTCTATTTTCTTTTCCCAGTTTGTAGGTTTCCTTTTCACCCTATCAGAAAAACTGGGGTTTTTTATGCACAAAAGCACTTAATTTCTAGAAGTAACCATTGATCAATTTTACCCTCTTAACACAAAGTAGATCAGAGACCTAGGGGTAAAGACAAAAACCATGAGGAGTCTTAAGTGACAAAATTCCTCCACTTTCTTTTTTTAAAAAATTAATTAATTAATTTCTTTTTCATTTTAATGAACATCTACAGAGATTTTGGAATTCCGTTCATTCATTGTTGCACCCTTCTCTCCGCCCCTCCCCTCCCGTTTTGCTCCTCTCCACTTTCTTTTGATGCTTCCTATGTCATTCAAATTTGCCCATGCTATTTTTCAATGTTGGAGCTCGAGGGTTGAATTTATTTCTTAGTTCTTTCAACTTGAGTATTGCTGAGAGAGTTCCTCGCTTTTTATTCTCCAACCCCAGTTCTTTGCACATTCTGTTAAAATATTTCACTATGTCTTCTCAAACTGTCCTTTGAAATTATCTGTTCATCTCTTTTACTTCAGAATCTCTTCCTTTTGTGTTAGCTTCTTGATGCTCCAGTGCAATTTTCAGAAACTTTTCTGATATGCATTTTGATCTTTTTTTTTCTCCTCTGTTACTCAAGTTGGTTTTAAAAGAGGCAGTGACATCGATGATATAATTGCTAATGACAGACGGATTTTGGCTAGAATTAAAAAATACCAGAAGAATGTCCATTTGTGTTTATGTAAAAACATTTGACTGTTTGGAGTATAATAAACTCTGGCTAGTCTTGAGAAGAATGGGAATCCCAGAACACTTAACTGTGCTTATATGAAACCTATGTCTAGACCAAAAAAGCTATTGTTTGAACAGAACAAGGGAACACTGCACAGTTTAACAAGAAAGGCATGTGTTAAAGCTGTGTCCTCTATCCACATGTGCTCAAACTTTATGCTAAACAAATAATTCAAGAAGCTGAACTTTATAAAGAAAGATGTAGTATCAGGATCAAAGGAGAACTAACCAACAAGCATCGCTATGCAGATGACACAATCTTGCTTTCTGAAAGCAAGGAGGACTTGAAGAACTTGTTACAGAAGATCAAAGCATACAACATGTAATATGGATTACATTGCAGCATCAGGAAAACAAAGATTTTCATCATAGGGTCATTAGGCAACATCATGAGAGATGAAGAAAAGATTGAGTACAGAACCTGGCCTAGTCTTCATTGTTGATGTTGAACTTCTCCAATGATTCCTTCCACAGGTAATCAATCTGATTTCTGTGCATACTATTGGGGAAATTAATGTATCTATTCTGTGTTTATGTTTCTTATAAAAGGTATTTGCTATCAATAAATCATAACCTCAGAAATTTCAAGGAATGTCTCTATGAGTCATAACATACCCAAGGGCAGGGGTTATGGTTTTAGTAAAACTTCCATTAGATTCTGTGGGCGAGGGAAACATTTAGAACATTACATAATCCAGTCTAGAGGATTAAGGAACATTTCAGTTAAGAGAGATCTGGAATTCAGAGTTAGTTGAAATAGAAATGAAATAAAGTGAACAAATTTCTTAAGTATTTAAGAGGAAGATCAGGAGGCTAAGGATAGTGTGAGGATGAGAGAGAAACAACTTGGAAAATTCTCAAGTTTCCATGTTCATCACTTAACTTTCCCCTGAAATGGAAATTTGAGAGGAAAGCAGAAGTCAAAGTGTTGGAGAGAAGGGAGAGAAATTCTAGTTATGATTCAGCTAGGGTAAGGTCCCAGTGGGACTCATGTAAACACTCTTGGCCTAACCAGAAGCTGATGTATTGAAATATGAACCAAAGTCAGAGTAGGAGTTCCTCATTGTCATCAGTATCCAGGTAGCAGATAAAAGCCTGAGGGTAAGTGTGAGAATTATGAGCTATACTCCTAGACACAGAAGACACAACCCAAACACAAGCCATAAAAAAGAAGGCAGAGAAGGCCTAGGAGAAAGAGAGATTAGAGTGCTAGGTATATGAAAATGCAGGGGAAGAAAAACACCTAGCAGATGAGAGGAAAGTCACATTGTTTTAAACTCACATTAAAAAAAAAAAAAAAAAAAACACCAAAATATTGTTGAGTCAGTTTTTATACCAACGAGCCCTATAAGAGAACAGATCTACCTCCTGAGTTTCCAATGACTGGATAGCTGCTGAGTCTGAATCATCAACTTTTTGGTTTGGAGACAGAGCTTTAAACCTTGTGACACCTCCAATAGCTCCAACTTAAACCCATTGATTGCCATCGAATTAGAACTGGCACACAACTGGCTTTCCACCAAGTTTCTAATGAGGAGATTGACCGTGGGTTAGCAGTGCACCTCCCTGTGCCCCTAGCACTGTGTCTTCTATATGTACAATTATCAAAAATTGTAGTAGAAAAAGTATACAAAAGCCGCAGGCATCAAGTGATTAAATAGAAAAAATATCTAAACTAATAACTACTATAATTAATCATTACATCCCTCCAATCTTCCTCATACTTGTGGCAAAAAGAGAAAGAGCAACTTTTGTAAGGCTCATAATTTGATAGAAGGGAGCGCATTTGCCCGTAAAGGAAAGTGACCTGTTGAATGCCTAGGAACGTAAAACTCCAAGGGGAAAATTCAGCATGTTTTTATAGCCTTCAACTAAATTACTGGAATTGTTTTCTTTCTGCTATTATCCCCTTGAGCTGGAAATTGCAGGTAAGAATTTAAAACTCCTACCCTGTCCCGTCAAAATCCTGTCTTATTATAATCATTTATGATGGATAATCCTGAAATTGAAACCATCAAAGAGAAAAGCCAGCTGGGGTCAGTTTTATCAGAGTTAATCTGTCATTTAAATTGGAATTGTCTAATGGGAGACACCTTTTGCAAACACAGCAGTGCTGGATAACACCTAAGGGGCCTTTCTCTTCTTATTCAGAAAATGCCAAAAGCCCATCTGAAAGCACCTGCACCCCACCTTCCCTGCCAAGGGCTACAGTGTTGTAAACAGAATAGCAACAAGAAACATAAGTTAATTTTGATCACTTTTCCATGTGAAAAGCAGCAATGCCAATTGGGAAAGGATGACTAAACCACTGGGTTTTGATTCCTTGTAGTCTAGGCCTTACATTCTCAAGGACTCAAGGTTTGGCGCATGTACATCTGGGCAACATTCAAGTAGAGCAGTTCTGCAAGGTTAGGTGTGCAACTACTTGTTCACATTTGTAGATGAAGGATCAGTGAAACAGAGGAAGGCTTTCACTGTGAGGAATTGACACAGTGGCTATAACAACAGACTTGAGCATGACAGAATGGTACAGGATAGGGTAACACACTTTTCTGTTGTTCATTGGGTCAGTATAAGTCTTAATCGACTGAATGATGCATAACGACCACCACATCTACAGGAATAAGATAATATATTGTGTTGTGGCAATGCATTGCCATAGCATTAGGAAGCTAATACAGAGACTAGTAATGAAAATCTGAAAATACATAAAGAACTAAGAATGATGTCTCTGGGGTTGGTCACCAGGGAATGAATGAACAATTGACTTTTTAAAAAATATTTTTGTACTATATCAAGTATTTAAAAAATTAATTTAAGATAACCTAAGAATGGCCAATGAGCCCATGAAAAGATACTCAATATCATGATCTATCTGGAAAATACAAATTAAAGCCAAATAAGAACCTATGTCTTTGAACTGTGGTGTTGGCAAAAAAAAATATGGAATATTCTTGGGCTGTCAAAAGAACAAACAAATCTGCTTGGAAAAAGTGTAGCCAGAGTGCTCCTTAGAAGTAAGGATGGTGATACTTCATGTCACGTGTCTCACATCCTTTGGAAATGTTATCAGGGGAAACTAGTCTCTGGAAGAATATCATGCTTGATAAAGCAGAACATCATTGAAGAAGAGAAAGTCCCTCAATGATATCAATTAACACAGTGTCTACAACAAAGGACTCAAGAACAACAGCAATTGTAAGGATAGGGCATGATCAGAAAACGAGTTTTTTTTTCATGTGTACATTGGATGACTAAGTTGGCTGGAAGGTACCTAACACCGCTACCACCATCACATAATTCACTCATTTAAAATGTATAATTCAATGATTGTAAATATTTAAAATACATATATGCAGCCATCATCACATCAAAATTGCAGGAAGACTCATCAATAACCTGCCATACGCAAATAGCACAATCTTGCTGGCAGAAAAGGAAGACTTGAATTTTCAAACTTCAATTTTTTTTATCAAACAAATGGGTTTTATTGGCATCTAAAAACAAAACTCACCCAACAATGAAAGTTATTTTAATATTTGTTGTTATTTTCTTTGTTCTTTTTCACTCACAGCAGTATGAGGAACAAATCACAGACACTTACTTTGGAGAAACAGAGACCGCAGTGTAGATTTTACAAAACCACTTTTTTCAATCTCATTATTGTGCTCCTCAAAGTATCTAGAGCCAGTCTTTGCATAAAACATCACAGCTTCTATTACCTTAAAATTCTGCACCAGCCTAAAGATATGGGTAAGATAGATATACCACCACTTGCTATTTTGAAATATATCCATTACCATATCCAACCTAGCAGTAGTATCTAAAAACCACATTCTTCCATAGGAAGTCTCTGATAAGCTGTTATTTATTTACCTGACGTTAAAAGAATCTGGGGCAATATTTATAGTTTACCAGAAAAAATTTTAAAAAAAGTTTACCTACCATGTTCGTAGTAAGTACAATGTCTATACAAGTCAGTTGTACAATTATTTTAAAAGAGAAAGGTGAACATGAACATCAGATTAACTTAATTCTGGCAGACAAAAGTGAATGCCTATGGTCCAGTCAGCCATTAATCTATTACAGCGAGATGACAACTTTACAAAATGTATCCTTTACCTACTGAGTGATGATTACGTCCCCTCAGTTTCTGTGCTTTCTACTACTGGTTCACTTTCTATATCAGCAGCTGTGTCACTCTTCTCCTTGTTTATCTCACTTGAAGATGCCAGTTTATCGTAAAGTTCAGGATTATTCTGTGCAGGTAAAGGTGGTGGCTGAGCGTGTCTCTCTGTATTTTCACCATTTACCTGAGGCACATTATCTCCTTTTCGTTGAGAAGTGGCCCCTTCAAAGTAATCAAAAACTCGAGCATGGGGAGGCGGGACCCAGGTGTTGGGAATTCTGTCTCTTCCAAGTCGATTTCCATTAATTTCTCTGCAGAAATAAAAATCTCTGTCATCCCTATCCCTCTGCCTCTCCCAAGGTCTTCTGCAGTCATCAAAATCTCTGTGAACTTCTTGTCCAAATCCTCCATTCCAACGACCACCTCTAGGACCAAATCTTATAGTTTCCAGGAGGAAACCGGCCTCTCTCTTCATGTAAACCTTTGGGACCACCAAAGACATGGAGACCACGATGCTCTCTCTCATCAAAATCTCCTCTATGGCCCCAGGGCTTCTCAGGATTAAAGCCAAAATGATCTCTTCGACTGCTATGATCTATACCTGGCCTAGCGAGGTTCTCCCTTATATCTACAGGAGGTCTTCTGAAGTGGTCCCTACCATCTAACGGAGGCCTTCCAGGGTCTTCACGAGGGTCAACAGGCTGCCCAACAACTTCCCTAACATCCATCGGAGGAGGAAAGTGGAATCTCGTCACCTTCTTGCTGAATGTTCTCGTTCCCAAGCAGCAGCCTTTTGTCTGGATTAGGAACCTTGTGGACATCTTGCCTTCCAGGAGCCAGGAAAGGTCTTTCAGGATGACCAAAAAGATCTCCTGGAGGAACAAACTTCAATTTTTTAATATTTCTTTGTCTATAAATGAAATCCTATCCTCATTAACAGAAATGCTCTCATTTCTCTTTCTTTCAATCCCTTGGCAACTACTAAGCCACTTTCTATCTCAATGAATTGTTCCACACTAGACATTTTATCAATGTCCTCTTGATCTCTGTTGTGCTCTAGCCCATTATATTAGCAATTGTGCCAAATCCATCATGACAATGGTACAGAATAGGGCAAGATTCAGGAGCTCTGGTGGCCTAGAGACAAGAAGCTGTCCTGCAATCCCAAAGGAGCATGGTTCAAATTCACCAAATGTTGTACTGGAGAAGGAGGGGCAGTCCCCTCCTGTACCAGTTGGATCCAATTCAATGACACACAACAAAAAGGAACAAACAAACAAACAAAATAGGGTAAGCTTCAAACACATTGTTGGTAGGGTTTCTATGAGTCATATTTCACCTGAGAGCATCTGACAATAACAGACATTTTATATGAATGAAATCCTATAACATAGTCTTTTGTGATTGGCTCTTTTCACCGCTTTAAGAATCATGCATTTTATATCATGTATGGTTTCAGTATTTCATTTTTTTTATGACTGAATAATATTCCACTGCATATATTATGTTTCTTTTCTCCATTTATTGGGTGATTGCTATTTGAGTGTTTCTACTTTTATGCGATTATGAATAATATTGCTAATGTTTCTGCATAAAGTTCTTCGTGAATACACGTATTCATTTCTACTGAAATTTCTATTTCTACAAGTAGAAATCCCTGTGGTAAAGTGTGGACTGTGGTGTTGCTAGCTGAAAGTCAGCAGTGTGAATCCAAAAGCCTTTTTGAGGAAGGAGGAAATCTATTTTCACAAAAACTTAAAGCCTTATCACAACATGGAGGGACATCTTGATAACAATGGGTTTCTCAATGTACTTACTTTAATCAGACTACAAAATTATTTTCTTTATCTATACCACAATGCAAAGGCAGCAATTCTCCTTCAGTCTTTTTTATTAATTGTCCAGATATTACATGCATATGAAGCAATTGAAAATACTATGACTTGAGCCAGGCATATTTAATCTTTAACAGTGGCATGGGGTGGGGGGTGGGGGTGGGCAGAGAGAAAAGTGCAACAATGAATGAATGGAAATCCAAGGTTTCTGTAGACTTTCATTAAAATTAACAATAAAAAAAGTTGGGGGTATTGCTGCTTAACCCCTTCACTCTGACAACCCTGAACTCTCTCACTCTCTCACAACCATCTCTCACTCACTGCCATTGAGTCAGAACTATTTATGGTTGAACTTCAGCAGGATTTCAGAGGTTTCACATCACCCATAATTTTCCTGAGGAACAGTAAGTAAGTGGATTCAAAGCCCCTGCTTTTGCTTGGCAGTTCAACTTGTTAACCACTAGTCCATCAGAGCTCTTTACCACCACTTAGCATTTATTCCAAATTTCAGGCTATGTGAGTTCATGCTATACACTTCCCCTCTCTGGGTCACCATTTCTTTATCTGAAAGAGGAATCACTTATGGTTTTCTTAAACCTACATAGTTCTGCATTTCTTTATAAAATGAACTTGAATGATCTGAAAAAGTGATCATAACATTTTATTAATTTTTAATTATATAAAATGTATTTAGTGTATAGAAAGAATATGGAAATATTTTAAAGTAGTTCACAAATATATACCTCTTATTTAGCAAAGAAAATGAAAAATAGTCAAATGCTGACTATATCTAACTTTAAGTGAAAAATATAATAACAAGTATAAATTTTCTTTAGCTTCCTAATTTCTCAAATGTGAAACATTTAAACTGTAAAATATTCTGTGTGTAAAGTTCTAATCAGAGGAAACTCACTGAGATGATCTGAGTCAATAGCTAATTTTTTTTGGGATGTGCCATTTCTCAGAAATGCCACAGTGATCTTCTTAGTGTATGGTACAGATTGAACTGTGTCCTCAAAAATATATGTTGAAAGCCTGGCCCATATACTTGTAAATAGGTCTTGTTTGAAAATGGGACTGATTTGTTGTTGTTGTTGTTGTTGTTATGTTAGTTAGCTAGATATGACTGAAGTGTGTTCTATATTTAATTACCTACTGTTGTTATTGCTGTATACAATTGACTCAAAATCTACCCATAGCTAACTCTCCAGTGAGTTTTTCAGAGGTGGTACAACACATGGAAAAAGATTTCTCATCTTTCTTCTATGGAGAAACTGGTGGATTAAAGTCTCATACCTTTGTGTTGCCAATACAGTTCCTTACCACTAAGTCATCAGAGCTCCCCAAAATATAGCAGACTAGGCACAGTGAAAAAAGAGAAAGGGGAAAAAACCAAACAAAAATCCCAAAACAACCAACCAGGTACATCTAAAAGCATTGTTAGGAGAAGTCCTGATGGCATAGTCTGTAGCACTGTTAACACAGAAGTCATGTCTCTGTGGCAGTTCGAATCCTTCAATGGTTACTTGGGAGAAAGATGGGTAATCTGTTTTTGTTGTTGTTGTTGTAATATGCCGTGGAGTCACCTGCAACTCATAGCAACGCTATTTACAAGAGTCCTAAACCCTGCTCTATCCTGTGCCAACCTCACTGTCAGTCACTGAATCAATCCATCTCATTGAGGGTCTTCCTCTCCTGCACTGTCCCTCCACCCTCCAAAGCATGATGTCCTTCTCCAAGGACCGGTCCCTCCTTGCAGCATGTCCAAAGTATGACAGACGAAGCTTCAGAATAAATTTACAGCCACTAAAATCCTGCAACTCTACGGCACTTAACAATATCTCTACCACCACCAGCATAGAAAGAGAGAGCAGTTGGCCTAGTGGACAGAAAGCTATGCCCCCAAGCTAAAGCTGGGTGACTCTACTCCGTGGCCCTCAGGCCTGCCTTTAATTGTTTTTGGTGAAACATTCTTCTAGGTCGTGTAACCCTGGTATGTCCACTTGCTGCACAGAGGTAACTCGTGGTTGCTGTGAAGCCGAACACTGTGACACTGATGTGTCAAATGCGAGAATGATTACCCATCGTGGACAGTGTTTGGTGAAGCTCCCCAATTAAAACAAGCTTGGAAGCAGGAGTGGCATCCACTTCCATAATAACTTGCCTCTGGAAACCATAAGAACCTGGTGAAAGAACAAAAGTTATACAGGAGGTATCCAGGACTTTCATTCATAGGGTCGCTATGGGTCACCTGTGACTCGATGGCACTTAACAACAACAACAAAAACCTGATAAAGGGTCAGCTATGACTAGATTCAGACTGTGGTCAATGAGATTTTAGCTTCACTAGGAGCTGAATAGATAAGAAAGAACCTCTCCCTGAAGCTATACTATGAATTCTCCACAAAGCTTTTCCCCTTGAAGTGTCAGAAAAGAAATTTCTATTCCTCAAAGTTGCCACAGACTTGTGGTATTTGCATTCCAAATGCAACAGGTAATTAAGATAGAATTCAGTACCAAGAAATATGGATGCTGTTCTAAGAAACACCTAAAAATGTGGAAGTGGTTTTGCAATTTCATAATTGGTAAAGACCGTGGGAACTTTGCTAGTAAGAGCTCAGCATGCCATGTGAGGAGATGGTCGGTAGAATGATGAACGTAAAGGGCTACTCTGATGAGGGCCCAGAAAGAATGGAGAGCTGTGGGGAGGGTCATCACCATCAACAGCATGCTCCCAGAAGTGTGGCTATTAAGTGTGCTTCTGATGAGGCTTTAAAAGGAAATGATGAAGATGTGATTGGACAATAAAGGGAAGGTGATAGGTTTTATAAGCTGGCAAAGAACTTTTCTAAAGTATTTTCAAATGTGCTGGGGAAGGTAGAACTTACAAGTGATGTGACTGGGTGTTTGGCTGTAGAGATTTCTCAGCAACATCTTAAAGAACTACAATGATTCCTCCTTAACACTTAAAGTAAAATGTGGGTAGATAGAGATACATTTAGAAAGGAAAAAGAAACCAGAACTTAAAGCCCTGGAAAATTCTGTCTTGAAAACTAGTAAAGCGTATCCTGAAACTGGCACCAAAGTTGTGACTACACAGTATTTTACTAAAAAGAGTAAGCCTGTAAGTGATGAATCTAATCAACCACTTCACAGAAATGCTGTAAATTTAGACTGAAAGGAACAAAGACAGGATTAAAAGCTGTCTCCTTCCTGGAAATTTATAAGCAAGAAAGAGGCCAGTTTCAGATTTCTATTGGATAAATAAATACATCCAAGGTGCTAACTTGCAGCTAACCCTCAAGCAGGATTTCTGAGACTATAAAGCACACAGAAGAAGGTTGCCTATCTGTCTCCCAAGGAGTAATTGGTGGATTCGAACCTCACGCCTTTGGGTTGGCAGCTCAATTCCTTAATGACTAGACCACCAGAGCTCCCTAATTAAATTTATTCCTATATAAATATAGGGAGTTCTGGTAGCCTACTGGCAAGAATCTATGCTGCAATCCTGAAGGCACACAGTTCGAGGCCACCAGATGCTTCACAGGAGAAAGATGGGCAGTCTCCTCCTATGCAATTAACTGCTCCTGAAAACTCACGAGAGGGTCAGCTATGGATTGGTTCCCATTGTACGGTACACAACAACATATAACTATAAACACTATCTAGAGATAATCCTGTTTGAGGAGGTCTGGCTGCTTA